AAAATTTTATTTTATTTTTTGAGACATAATTGTACATATGTATGGGGTACCATGTGATGTTTTGATACATGTATATAATTTTTAATGATCAAACCCTCTCTTCTAGCTATTTTGAAATATACCACATATTGTTGTTGAGTCAAATCACCCCACCATGCAATGAAACTCTAGAATTTATCTCTCCCCATCACTCCCCCAACCCCCAGCCCCTGGTAACCACAATTTTACTCTCTACGTCTAAGAGCGAGTTTTTAGATCCCACATGTGAGTGAGATCATGCGGTATTTGTGTTTCTGTGCCTGGCTTATTTGACTTAACATGTCCTCTAGGTTCATCCGTGTTGCTGCAAATGACAGGATTTCATTCTTTTTTACGGCTGAATAGTATTCCCTTGTGTGTCTACACCACATTCATCCACCAGTGGATGCTTGGGCTAATTCCACGTCTGGCTATTGTGAATAGTGCTGCAATAAACACGGAAGTGCAGATGTCTCTTCCGCACGCTGATTTTATTTCCTTTGGATATATGCCCAATAGTGAGGTTGGTGGATCATAGGGCAGGTCTATTTTAAATTTTTTGAGGAAACACCGTACTGTTTTCCATAATGACTCTGCTAATTTACATTCCCACCAGCAGTGTGAGAGGTTCCCTTCCCCACTGCTAATTTCCAGTCCCGGCTCTTCCTTCTGTCAGCTGGCGACCACAGGCCAGGCACCAACTTCCCCAGGCTGCCTGGTCCAGGTCACAGCCCTCGCTGACCAGTCAGCCGTTGGGTGAAGTATTAACCTCTCTATGCTCCAGTTTCTTCATCTGCAAGGCAAGAATGACAGTGCCTACCCCTTAGGGTCATTTTAAAGATTAAGTGATTTGCAAAGCATTTAAGAAGTGCCTGGCCAACAAAACTTTAGCCAAAGTGGATCAAAGGCCTAATAAACATAAGATAAAACTACAAAAATAGACAAAACCGTAGAGTAAATGCTCGTTCCTTGGATTTGGCAATGGATTCTTAGTTGTGACAAAAACACAAAAAATAAAAGAAAGAACCAATAAACTGGGTCTAATCAAAACTAAAAGCATTAATCCTTTGTGCTCTAGCTCTGAAGACACCTCCCCGTGAGCCTCTCCTAACCCCGTAGACAGGACGGCTTTCTGTGGTGTGGCAGTGACGGCGGCGGCAGCAGAAGTGTCACTGAGCGTGACTTCGTGCGGCACTTTCTCTGTGCTTTGAATTTGTCGACTCACTTGCTCTTCACACCTGCCTTAATCTTAGGCCCTATTTTCATCTCTATTGACAGGTGAAGAAACTGAGGCAGGTAAAAGCCCAGCAGCAGGCCCAGGTCACGCAGCGCATCCTCTGAGCTCCCAGCAGGTGGTGTAGACGCTGTCCTGTGGCCTGGCGCACACCGAGCCGTGTAGACTTGGATCTCACTTGTGAACATGAGCTCCTAGGGCCGGGACCCGCAGCCCCTCCCATCCCTGCCCCGCGGGGCCTCAGTGGCTTCTGCAGGGTGTGAGAGCTGGCGACACCGGGCCTTGATCGTGGAGGGTTTGCATTCCAAATGGAGGTTTAAGCTTTATTCTGAAGTGGACAGAGTGGCATTTCAGGTTTTCACAAGCAGAATGGCGTGAGAAAAGGGATGTTTCGGCAGATACCGCTGTGGACCGCGGCCTGTGAGATGAGGCGGGAAAGCAACAGAGGGAGCCTGTTCCTCTGGGTTCAGTCGGGGCCACATAAATTGTGCAGCAGCCACGGTTGTGAGGAGTGTGGGGTGAGGCGTTGGGGATGGCCGTGCGTGGGCTGATCCAGACCTCAGTGGCCTCACCTGGACGGCAGCAAGCCCTCGCAGGAACCTGAGTGAGCCTGGGTCTTTGCACAAAGAGGACGAAAGGGAAAAGTCAGCCACTCACCCTAATATCTGGTCTCACCCAGGCCCAGCACCCGGTATTCCGTAGCCTCCCAGGGTTTAGCTTTGCAAAGCCACAGACAAAACTAGACACCTTCCATCACCGTTGACTCAGGTATCTTAACCCGAATGTCAAAAGTAGAATATGGAACCTCTTCAAAGCAAAACATACCCTTCTTTATAGCTTGTTCTTTCATTTTCCTTCCATTAAAAATAAAGCCACGGTGAAAAAGGATTTAATATCTATCATGGCAAATTTTACTTACATAAAATATTAATTGGCTATGGTCTGATTTGATTTAAAAATCCATTGTAGGCTTAGAACACATTAAAAAAAAGCTAAAACTTAGCAATACATCTTACCCTTAGGCAAACTCATAAGAACAGCTGCTGAGATTAAATTAGAGTGTATACTTGTTTCTGGAAGTTTTCCAACTCATTTCTGGTTGTAGAGAATGCCGTAGGAGCCAGGAGGCCTCGGCAGAAAGCTGATACTTGACAGTGCTTTGAGAGCCATCCTCTGTGAGAATGGTCTGGGAAAACTGCCTTTTTTGTACTTTTAATAAAAGACATTCAATATTTACGCCATTCCTATTATTGTACAACATACCTTCTCTAAATAGTTTCTTAAATAGCACTACAATATTTTTTCCACATTTTCTTAAAAAAAAAGGCAACTGGTTTGAGTCTTGTTCTTGTTCCGCATGTGCAGCCCAGGTGCTGTAGACGCTGGTATTTGCAACGTATGACCAGCATCATGTCCTGAAGTACCGATAGGGGCATAGGCAGAGAATTTAGAGACAGAAAACACGGTGCAGAATTGACCAGTGACCCAGAGAACACAAATGCGACGTAGGCTGATTTATGGTTTAAGAGTCTCAGGAGACGTTGGAGAGCCCCTGGGCTGCTGGTTCCTAATGTTGGCTGCGTATCAGAATCACCTGGGGTGTTTCTGAGAAATGCTGATTCCTGGGCCCCACAGCACAGATTATGACCTTTGGGTCGGGCTGGTGGACGGGGCCTTAGGATGTCTGAAGGCTCCCCAGTGCATCTGATCTGCATCTCAATCGGAGAACCGCGGCCACAGACCGTCCTCCGCCCCGGAGAGCAGGGGATTCGCCCGAGGTCAGAACCAGTGTGCCCCAGCAGGTGGGGGGCCATCACCCGGTTACCCAGGGGGACACTTGAGAGCTGTTCTGCCTTGCCACACGCTTCACCCCAGCCCTCAGCTCACTCACATGGTCGCGGGTTCTTCTATCATCCCACCGCGGGTCTCCCTCCAGCTCCGTAGCCCTCAGACGTGCAGCAGGCGCCTCCCGCTCAGAGTCCTGCTGCCTTAGCGTCGCCGCAGAGCCGCTGCACCAGCTCCCGGAGACCCGCGTCTCATCACGCTGCCCTCTACGCAAATGCCAGGGGCTTTCTGTCGCCACCGGGACCCCGCGGCGTGGCTCGCAGACCCTCCAGAAGCTGGCGCCAGCCTCTCGAGCCTTCTCTCTCGGCCCTTGCGCGTTTCCACTCCCAGGAGGTCCCCAGAGGAGTCAAGTCCATAGAGACAGAAAGTGGAGGGTGGGTGCCAGGGGCTGGGCGGGGTCGGGGATGTGGTATTTAATGAGGGGGCACGGAGTTTCAGTTTGGGAAGATGAGAAGGTTCCAGAGATGACTGGTGGTGATGACTGCATGCCACCGAACTGCACACTTAAAATGGCTAAAATGGCAAATTTCAGGTTATGCATATTTTACCACAATAATAAAATTTTCTTTTCAGTTGCTTTCCGAGGGAGGTCTTGCCTGCCCTTTGGCCTAAATTAGGCAGCCCTATTACATGTTCCCAGAACTCCTCATGCTTCCCTGTCAGAACCATGTCCATTTGAACTTTGTGCTCCTTACCAGACTGTAGGTGTGACAAAGGCTCACCGTGGCCCTCGCTGTGGTCACCCCTGTGTTCCCACACGGTGGGCACAGAGAGTAGGTGCCCACAACATAATTCTTAATGGATATTGAATAAAACTCAGATTCGTTGTATCCTAGCACATCAATTGTTAGGAAAATACCATTGCTAAAATACTCAATCCAGTTTGACATTAAAATACCCGAAAGTATCAGACCACAAATAGTCCACTCATGGTAAATGATAGCATTGGGCCAAGTACGTGGAGTTCCAATCTCTGGTTAATCTTTAAATGTGGATGATGTTGGAGGTGGGTAAACTCCAAATGATCCTGAGACTACTTTTGTTTTATCAAATAAATACAACAGGAAAATGAAAACCATGATGATGATTTCAGATTTTTTGAGGACACTCTATTTATAACCACTTCCCTTGGTTAATACTATGTTTTCTTCCCTTGGTTAATACTATGTTTTTTTCCTGTTTCCAAATTAGATATTTATCTTTGAAAACAACATCTACTACTGCGCACATGTCGGGAAGCAGGCCATCCGCGTGGTCTCTACGGGGAAGGAGGGTGTGATCTACAACGGCCTCAGCGACTGGCTGTACGAAGGTAAGGCACTTGGAACCGAGAAAGGTGAAGGTTTCTAATTGCTGTTGCTGCTGCTACGAGATTGGTTTTTTCTTTTTCTTTGACTTAACTATAAATTAAACTCCAGTTTCCTGAGGTCCTGCTAAATTAAAAAGATTCTTTGGGAGCTTTGAGGAGTGTGGGGCTGTCAGTGGAAACCTAAGGTGTTGAGCTCTCACCTGGCAGCCATGTGTGCCAGGCTTGGCAGAGCCCTCCAACTCTTCCCGAAGGGCAGGAGGCACTTCAGTGGGAGATTGACTATCCAAGGAGGGGACCTCCGGGAACATTCGGGAATCGCAAATGCATGTTTTTCTATCCTGACTCTCAGAGGCCGGGTGTCTTGGGGAGGGGACAGTTGAAAAAGAGAAGATGTTAAATCTTTCCAAAGAAACCAATCAGAGTGACTTGCCATTCTGAGTGCATCTGCCTTGACAGACGTTTTCTACCACTGGTTTGCCTTTGGCACCGGGAGACTCCTGCTATATACATTATTAGATAACTAAAAATCTGAGAGGGAAGCTCTCTTCTTAAGCATTTATAATCCGTCTCCACACCAGTGATACCCTCGTCCTAACGGTAGCAGCCAGGCGTTGACCGCTGTAGGTGCGGTCACTGTTGCGGCACTTTGTTGTCTATCCCCTCATTTAACCCTCTGCCTTAGCTCACTCCGGCTGCTGTAACAAGACAACATGATACCATAGGCTGAGGGGCTTCAACAGCAGAAATGTGTTTCCCACGGTCCTGGAGTCTGGGCAGTCCGGGGTCAGGGTGCCCGCCGATCCCCTGCGTCTGCAGAGGGCCCCTGCCTGGTGCACACTGCCGTCTTCTCCTCGTGTCCTACCTGGGGTCTCTTCATCCCCTTGTAAGGACACCAGTCCCATTCGTGAGGGTGCCACCCTCAACCTGTCAAAGGTGCCACTCCTGATAACATCACCTTGGGGATGTGGGCTTTGACATATGAATTCAGGGAGACACAGACATTCGGTCCCCAGCATCCTCATAGCAACATTTCATTTCACAGATGAGGCATGGCGAGGGCAAATAATCTGCCCAAGTTTGCACAGGATAGGGAATATTTATGAGGAATGTCATTGTCCAAGTCCAGGACAATCACCTTTTGGAAACTCAGCAGGCGGATCAATATGCTTGTGCAGCCGGCGTTGGGCTGGTGGATGGCAGGAGCACTTCTCAGCCTCCCGCCTGAGACCGCACGGGCACGGCAATAACTCACCACGCCAGCGGGGCGAGGGAGGATCAGGGATGTTCTGGGCGCTTTGTCAAGCCAGTATCGTTTCTCCCTTGCGACGCATTTCTCCAGCCGGGACTCTGCATGGCGGCGGCTTTGTGCTTCATAAATTATAAAGCAGATGGGTGTGCAAGCTTAGTGTTATCTCCCGTCATAATCCCACTGAAGTCACTGGAGTCATAAAGTTCTATGACTTGATTTTTAACTTTTTAAATTGAGGTATAATTTGTACATAATAAAATGCACATTATAAAGCCAGTGCGAGGAGTTTGACAAGTGTATATACTGGGTATCCCCAGTCAAGACACAGAGCATTTCCATCATTCCAGAAATTTCCCTCAGCCCCTTTATAGCCACTTCCCCCACCCTAAGTCTCTCTTCCAGAGACCGCCGCCATCCCAGTTTCTAGGCAGCTTTTCCCGACAGACGTCCACACAGGGCGTCCTCTCCAGCGTGGCTGCCAGGGCTCCGAGAGTCCAGCTTCTGAGGGGCCTTCTGAGCCCAGCAGAATCAAGCTGGAGGCTTTATTGTCACAAGATGTCCTTAGCCCCACCTGAGGGAGCCGCCGGAATGAAACGCACGCTGGCCATTGTCTGCTGTGGTCAAACTCGCTCTGGGCAGAAGCAGCCCTGGGGATGGCGTGCTGACCTGTCCCCCAGCCCCATGCAGGAGGCACAGCCGGCCACCCACAGGGACGTTCCAGAGCAGCCGTGTGTCCCCATGCTGGCGCAATCCCTGTGTCTGTGCTGGCCTGCCCCGTATCCGGAGTAGACTGTTGACAGTGAGGCCTTATTCCCAGGAACAGCTGGAGGACTCCATGCTCCCTGTTCCCCGGCGTCTGGGTTCCCTCTCACGGCCTTTGCCGCAGCGGGAGGGGGGACCCGGGACCAGGGATCAGAATGCTTCGTGGTGCAGAGCAAGGCTGTAGAGTCAGAGACCCATATGGGAGACCAGCCCGGTCACAGGACGTTGGCGGGTGCCTTCCTCAACGTGCTCATCTGTGAGGGGGGCAGGCGTCCACGACACTGCTTTGCAGGGATCGTGTGAGATGATGACGGAACATATCGCACACGTGATGGTCAGTAGTCAGCAAACAATAATTGCTGCTCTTGTTTCTTATAATAATAACAATAAAATTATGTTTTAAAATAAATTATTATCACAATGTGGTTATTACTATAACTATTTTTTTATTGTAAAGGAAAAATATTTTTTAAAAAAGGCACAGGTATCAAGGCAGCATTTCCCCGGAGCATCATTCCGCCGCGTTTGCAGAAATTGACCTGGAAGTTCAAGAGAGGCCCATGGAAATGACGACCTGAGGCCCCCCAAAGAAAGACACAGGTCCCCTGGGGTACTGGCTGCCGGAGCCTAGGCGTACTCTAGGACTAATCTCCTTAAAAAATCCATCACCAGGAGATTCAAAATATCTTCTTTAGCATCTTCTTAATGAAATAAAAAGTTCATTGCTTTGCCATTCAAGTTAAGCTTTTGCCTTAGCAGGTCCATTGAAAGGAATTTTTTCTTCAAGGCATTTACTGAAATTGTGTTGATGTGATAACAGAGCCGTAAATATTTTAAATCAGTCACGGTAGCTGTGGCAGCTTAATCTGCTTAGTGCTATTCCCCAGAAGGTTATATACACTGACGTTTGGATTTCTGAAAGTGGGCTCACTGGCCCGGAGCCCGGGGGAATCTTGCTTTCTTTTTTAATAATGGGAAAGTAAACTTTGGAGGTTTTTGCCTAATCTGTGACTTAACTATTTCACTTCCAGGCTCTGCCTTAAAAAAATTGTGGGCAGAGGGAGATTGGAAGGGAAAATACGCTGAAAGCATTTGCAAAGGGCCTGACTCGCTGGGACTGTTGGTTCTGAGGAGCCGAGCCCCATAAGTGGGAACAGCCACTGTCGGCCACCAGCTTGTTGGCAGCAAAAAGCCATCGTGATTTGTTTGTTTCCCGAAAAGGATCCTAAACGTGTTGAACATTGCAAAATACTGGGGACTGAGGGAGAGAAGTGGGAGCCCTGGGGGCTGTCAGGAATCTCCCTCCCTGCCCAGGTTTATGCATGCAGTGTAGGAGAACCGGCAGGGACTGAGCAGCCGCCACGCGCCAGAATGCCAGCTCGGCGCTGGCAGGGAACGCGGTGCCGCCGCCCGGCTCCTGACTCTCTGGAGCCAGTCCCTGGCTCATGGTGGCCACAGACTGATTTGGAAAGCAAAATGCATAGATTTATTTTATTCTTCTGGGCAACTGTCATATAGTTACATACAATTTTGATTTTGATATAAAACCAAATACAGCTTAATGGTGTCCTCTGACTGTAGCAAGGTTTACTAAAGTTGGTTATTCATAAACTAAAGTTAAGCTGTTGCTAGAGTTTTTTGAAGACTCTCGATGAGTGTTCTGTTAAGAATTTGCACTTTCACACGAGGCTTAGAAATTTTGCAAATATTTGCTCATAATATGAGGGCCTACGGGCAAAGAGTTGGAATTCTCCAGATGTTATGAAAGGTACTTTGTCCCCACTGCTACAGAGTTGCTGTGTTTTCCACTTGCTGCTGCTCATTTATAAATGACTGTTCGTCGCTTTTATTATCATCATGTGCATGAGGTGTAGTGGTACAACACAGAATCCTTGGCTGGTAATTTTCTCATAATAAGACTTTAAGTTATTAAATGTTTCCGCCTCTATTTCAAAAGCAGTCATATGTATAATCCAGAATAAATATCATTATTCAGGGACGTGCCATTACTGTGGAATGGCTCACACCTCTGTGGAAAGCTGGAACATGATGGGGTCATTGGAGGACTCCTGTCTCCAGGTGTATTGTACGGAAGATCTGGCTCTAGAAGGGCGGTGGGGGCAGGTGGGGGCGATGAACTTGATAAGATCCTCAAAGAGCATGGCCTGGGATCAGGGCCGGGACGGCAGGGGGTTGAGGAAGTGGCCTGGAGGGGACTTGTTTAATATCTGGCGTGATGTAGATGAAACTCCAGGGCTGGATTTAACCTTCAGTATGCCGGAACTTAAAGGTACTTGGCAAATGCGCTCAGAGCAGGAGACCTGTTTGGCGAGGCGGCACTGCCCGAGGACATCGGCGGGAATAATGTTTAGTAAGACTCTGGGCCAGCTGCTCCTGGTGTCGGTTTTCCTTGCCGGGTTCTGGGACCCGTGCAGCCAGGCAGCACCTGATAAACAGTGGCCGGGGGACGTCAGGAGCCCACAGCGCTCACGCGTTACGCCCTGCCCAGGTGCACTGCGCACGCCCTGCAGCCTTGCTCTGCTCTCCTGAGGCCACGTCCTTCCTGGGGCACAGCCCGCTCCACCATCCCCAGGCTGGCTCCGTGCTCTACCCACCCACCCGGGAGCACCCCAGCGAGACCATCTCCACTGTCCCTGACCACTGCCAGTCACCGGGGGACTAGCGTGGAGGAAGTGGAGGTGAGGCTGGTCAGGCCCAAAGAGGCCGTCTTCCCAGCACTGCCAACTGGAGATATGTTTAACACATCCTGAGTTGGAACCCAGAATGCTCTAGAAACGTCGTTGGCAACGGAGTCAGCCCTGCTGTATAAATAGGGCAGGACCTCTCCAAAGCCACATTCATTCAATCCTGCCTGATGAACTCCCAAGCCCTGGTCACATGATCTTTACCCTTTGCCTATGTGTCGCTGCTAATGTCCAGAGACTGCAGCCAGGGAAAGGGTAAGGCCTGTGTTTCAATTCTTTACAGTTTT